TCTACTTGATAGTGTAATATTAACCAACTCTTACTTTTTGGATTTGCCTTTAATTTTAGAGGATAACCCTTTGGCTTTCTTTGTTAGAAACCCGGACTTGAAGATTTGCTGCACCACTAGTTCTCTGATCACACTAGCACTATCGGATTGTTTTGCCCTAGAACTAGAAAAACTTTCTCCTTGAGAAGCTCCTTCATTTCCTGCAGATCAAGAAGAAAATGCCTAATTTTCATTTTGAACCATCAACATAAATACCAAGAGATGAGAACTGCAACTAATACATGAGTGCCTGTTTGCCTGTTTAGGCCAGTTTTTATTATTATTATTATTATTATTAATTATTATTTCTACTACAAAAGCTAATTAAAAGGATCTGTCATCTTGAAAAAATAAAGCTTTAAAGAGTTTATTCACACCTTTCTTTTTGTTGGGATTGGGAATGATGTCTTGAATTATTCAAAGTAAATATAGAAAATCTCAATGGAGTTTGAATTTGAAATTTTAATAAGATTTAGTATCATAATTTAATTTTATTTAATTTGTAAGAAACCTTGAGACTTATATAAAAATATATGATAACTCTTATATTTGGAGAATATATAGTTCCATAATGCTTAAAGTTTGTTCTCTACATTTTTTTTTTTTTTTGATGCACAGGAGTTTGTTCTCTACTATTGACTCTGTTTGAATCTAGCACAAATAAGTACTGTAAGCAATTTAATTATGTGTGGAGGAGACACACCTTTGAAAGTCCAACCCATTGCTTCTTGAGTAACGCTATTGTCATCTTGAACCATCAATAAAGGCAATTTTTCAACAAAGCCTCTTCATTTTTTATTAAAATTTGAAACTCCAACTTGTTGCTTCTTAAGCAAATATTTTGTAGTTAAGTTTTTTCATTTTGTTATTTTTTTTTAATTTCTATGATTGTTTTATATAAATTCACAATTTAGTACTTTCATAAAAGATAATCAAAACAAAATCTGATTATAAAAGCTACAGTTAAGTCAACAGACTCTAGATGATTCATGTGAATTAGAGGTTAATTAGATTATTTTACCAGATGGAGTGCTGTGGGGGGGTTCTTTGGATTGCATTGGCTCCGAAATAACTCCATTATGGTCAGAGGGAGGGCTAGATGGTGGAGCTGCAGGCCACTAAAGTACAGTGGAACCAGAACAAAAAAAAAAAAAGGACACGAGTGAAAAGTTCTCAATTTCTCATTATCTTTTTGACACTATAAAAAAAAAAGTTTTAAAATTTAAAACTCCTTTTAATAAAGGGAAAAATGAAAAATGCCATTAGTTTTAAGTTAGATGTTTGCTTTATATTTCGGTTTAATGTATCAATTGTCATTTGAAAAAAAAAAAATAGAAGAAAGAAAAGAATCTAAATTATCAAGTACCTTGTTGCCGTTGTCGTAGAATGCCTGGGTAATTGCACCAGCAACTGCAAATGGGGAGGAAGAACTTTGAACTCCAGGCAAAGCTAAAACATCATAGTAGTTCATGATGATTATGAGAATAAATGTTTTCTTACCGTCAAAATTGAGATTTAGTCTGACCCTTTTATACAACCAAAAATAGAAAGTCAACATATAAATATTGTCATTGCAAATTGGAGCATGCGGAAATGATAATTAATTAGAAAAATTATAGAGTATCTTATTTATTAATTACAAGATTATAACATGATACAAAAGATCTCTCACTTTATTTTTTTGGTTTTTTGTGTGTGGTATCTTGTAAATTCTTAATGAAAGATCATCTATCAGTGGACAATTGATTCCTTGACTCATGTTAATTTCTTGGGCTTTTGAGGGGAGAAATTGTTGAAGTTCCATAAATTATGCAGTTTCTTTTCAAGGAACAAAATTTTACTCCTTTTCTCTCAAAATAATAATCATTTTTTTTACCTTTTTTACATATTAAGAATTTACATGTGATTTATATATTTACTTATATTACTTTTATAAAAATAAAAAAATTATTTCATAATATAATATATAATTAAAGTAAAACAAAATATTAAAAAATAAGTACTTATTTTCATCAAAAATGAAAACAACT